TAAAAAAAAAAAAAGCCAAATCATATATTTCCCCACTCACTTCTGAATGTGCTTCATGCAGGTGCATTGAAGAGAGAGCTGTTGGGGGTTGCTGTGTGCATTTTGCCAAAGTGGTGGAGAGACACAAGCCAAATCATATATTTCCCCACTCACTTCTGAATGTGCTTCATGCAGGTTCATTGAAGAGAGAGCTGTTGGGGGTTGCTGTGTGCATTTTGCCAAAGTGGTGGAGAGACACAAGGATCCAGAGAAACCCCTTTGACTTTACCTCTGACCCTCTGCTTCCATGTGGGCCTTGTGTTCCCACTTTGTAAATGGAGGTTATTAAATTAGCCTTTCCAAAGGCTCTCATGGAATCACTCAAAGGGTGAAAATTCTTTGCAAATAAGAATGCCTTGCCACTGGAGTGCCTGTTAATTATAAATTAGGAGCGGAAGGCAGGCAGCTCTCAGGGGAGATAGATAAGGTCTTCAGGTTTTGATTTACCATTTTTGTTTTCTTTCCTTTTTTGCCTCCTTGGTTTTGCTTTTTCTGAGTCAGTTGGTTGTTCAGGAGTAAAAGAGTGTTCAGTGATTGGAATCAGGCATGGTTTATAAAAGTAATTTTTGGGTTCAAGGTTAGGTAGATTCTACTTTGAGTCCCTGTTCTGCTCATCATTTAGGGTTTACTTTGAACAAATTGCTTAATTGCTCTGAGCCTTTGTTTTCTTCTCTGGGCAGTGGGATTGACATTTCCTTTCTTGGAGGACTGATGGGCAAATCTGGGATCATGTACATAAGGTGTAGAGCTGGGCAAGTGCATCCTGCTCAGTGCGCCCCACCCCCTCTTCCTGACCACCCTTGTCCTGCTTCACCTTTCTCATTTTCCATAGCACTTGCCACCTTTCGTATCCTGTATGATGCAGTGATTGGTCATGTTTGTTGCTTACTGTATGCTTCTCCCCTCTGAGAATAGAGGTGTCCTGAGGAGAGGGATCATGGTTTTGGTTAGGTATTCATCCCAAGTGCTTTCAGCACTCCCTGGCCATGCTTGATAGTTATTTGTTGAATGACATCCTCCATCTCTTTTCTGTTTCTCTTTCTACTCATTGAGACATTTTAAATCTGATTTTGTACTCTTCTGTTTTGCTTTCTTCTTTTTTTTGCTCCTCCTGGAGCACATTCATGAAACATTAAATATTGTGCTCCTTCCTGCATTGCTGAATAAATGAATTTCATTGATGGATATTCTGGGGACTGGATTTGGTAAAATTCATCTACATTTCGTCTTGAAAGTATGACTTTCTAGCATTAGTCACCACAGAGCTTACTAAATTTGCTTAAACACACTGAAACTTTTTATTCCTTAAGTCATAAACTGGCATAGAAAGTTTTGGAAAGAAAAGCCTGACTGCTTCCCAACAGCCCTGACCTCTTTACAGTAGCTGATTAATTAGAGTTACTGTTAAAACGAGCTATGACTCTTTTTAAAAGCCATGGCCAAGGTTCAGATGGAACTTCTTTGAGTTCGGAGATGCAAACCAGATCCAAAGTGTGCATTCTGTCTGTGTATATTTCCAATCTGATGAAAATCAGGAGGTGGGAGAATCTGACAGGCCTAACTAACTTGGCTGGACTAAACTGATTTTGTTCAAGTACATTTTTGGTCACAATCAGACACAATACATTAATAGGTTAAGGACAAAAACAACTGATCATCTCAACAGATGCAGAAAAAGCATTTGACCAAATCCAACACCCTTTTGTAATAGAAACAACAATCATAGAAGAGAACTTCCTCAACCTGATAAAGGGCTCCTATGGAAAAAAGAAACAAACAAACAAACAAAAAAAAAACAACCACAGCTAACATAATACTTAACGGTGAAGGACTGGATGCTTTCCCTTAAGATTAGGAGCAAGGTAAGTATATCCACTCTTGCTACTTCTATTTAACATTGTAGTGGAGGTTCTAGCCAGGGCAATAAGACAAGACAAAGAAATAAAAGACATCAGATTATAAACGAAGGAAGAAAAGTATCTCTATCTGCATATGACATGGTCTTGTATGTAGAAAATCCCAAACACACACACAACTAGAACTAATAAATGAGTTCAGCAAGATTGTATGATACAACATCAATATAAAAATCATTTCTGTTTCTATACACTAACAATCTGAAAATGAAATTGAGAAGAATTCCAATTATAATAGCATCAAAAAGAATAAAATACTTAGGAATAAACTCAAGAAAAGAAGTGTAAGACTTGTGCTTGAAAACCACAAAAGATCATTGAAAGATATTAAAGTAGATTGAAGTAAATGAAAAGACATCCTGTGTTCATGGATTGGATGATAATATTAAGATGTCAAGACTCCCCAAATTAAACTACAGATTCAGTGCATCCCTAATCAACATTCCAGCTGGATTTTTTCTTTTCAGAAATTGGTAAGATAATCCAAAAATTTACATTTTATGAATGCAAATACAGGAGACCCAGAAGAACCAAAACAATTTTTAAAAAAAGAACAAAGTTGCAAGATTCATCCTTCATGATTTCAAAACTTACTACAAAACTACAGCCATCAAGACAGAGTGGTACTGGCATAAGGACGGTCAATACAGATCACTGGAATAGAATTGAGAGTCCAGAAATAAACCCTTACAGTTATGGTTAATTGATTTTTGACAAGGGTGCTAAGATAATTCAATGGGGAAAATCTAGTCTTTTCAACAAATGGTGCTAGAACAACTAGATAGCCACATGAGAATGAAATTAGACTCCTACCCCATGCCGTATGCAAAAATTAATTCAAAATGGAACAGAGACCTAAATGGAAGAGCTAAAACCGTAACACTCTTAGATGAAAACATAAGGGTAAATCTTTATGACCATAGGTTAGGCAGTGGTTTCTTAGATATGGTACCAAAAGTATCAACAGAATAAAATAAATTAGATTTAGTCAAAATTTAAAACTTTTGTGCTTCAACAGACATCATCAAGAAAGTAAGAAGACAACACACAGAATGGGAAAGAATTTTTGCAAATCATATATCTGATAAAGGACTTGTATCCAGAAAATATACGAAGAACCCTTACAATTTAACAATAAAAACACAAATAACCCAACGAAAAAATGGACTGAGGATTTGAATTGACATTTCTCCAAGGAAGATATTTAATAAGCATATAAAAAGATGCTCGACATCATTAGCCATTAGGGAAATGCAAATCAGAACCACAATTAAATTCCACTTGATTCCACTAGGATGGCTGTGATCAAAAAGACAATAACAAGTGTGGCAAAGATGTGAAGAAAATTAAATGTTCATTCATTAATGGTGGGAATGTATAATGGGGCAGATATTTTGGAAAACAGTTTGACAGTTTCTCAAAATGTTAAACTTAAAGTTGCCACATGACCCAGAAATCCCATTCCTAGGTATATAGCCAAGAGAATTGAAAACATATGAGGGTACTTCAAAAAGTTGGTAGAAAATTGAATTAAAAGATAATAAAAATCCTTCCATGAACTTTTTGAAGCCCCCTCATATAGTCATACAACAAAAGTGTACGTAAATGTTCAGAGCCGCATTATTCACAAAAGCCAAAAAGTGGAAATAGTCCAAGTGTCTACCAACTAATAAATGGAAAAGATGGTATATCAATACAATGGAATACTATTCAGCAATAAAAGGGAATGAAGTATTGATACACACAACAGCATGGATGAACCTTGAAACATCATTCTGTATGAAAGAAGCCAGTTTCAAAAGACTGTATATTGTGTGATTTCATTTATATGAAATGTCCAGAATAGGTAAGACCATAGAGACAGTAAATAGATTAGTGGTTGCCAGGACCTGGGAACAGGGGATATGCCATATCAGGAAGTTACTGCTAATGCTCCTGGGGTTTCTTTTTGGGCTGATAAAAATGTTATAAAAATAGATCGTGGTGCTGATTGCAGAGCCCTCTGAATATATTAAGAGCCAGTGAACTGTACACTTTAAAATGGTGCATTTTATGGTATGTGAATTGTATCTTAACCAAGCTGTTACCAAAATATTCAGACCTATGTGAGGATTAGAATTCTGCGCTACTGAAACTAATAATAAAGGTCAGAGTATACATAGAATGGGTTATTTTCTTAAAATTTTCCTTTTCCATTCTTTTCTTCTCTTTTTATTTTATTGGTAGAAGCTAGAAATGCTTTTGTGTTGCTGATATCAACATTTTTATTGCTTCATCATTTTTGCAGCCATGGATAAGAAAGCAGATGGTAACCTTAAAAGAGAAATGTTCAGTTTGGGGGAGAGATTTTCATCTCTGGCTGCTACCTTTTGAAATAATTCACATGTGTGATCTTCTTGTATTTTAAAAAAACTACCAACATAGGGAAAAGTTAGGTTTCCTATTAGAATTTCAAACCTACAGGGATCTTTAGTGGAAGTGAAAATGTCTTTCCCATGAGATCTTAGGGCAAGATTTGTTTAGTGGGAAAAATATATTTGCTTTTCTTAAAGAAAAGTTCACCTGCAATTCTTTTAAAAGCCACTTCTGTTTTCCAAGGCTTGGGAACCTTTTCTAAAAATGGTATGTTGTCAGTATTTGTTAAATCTAGGCATTATATTTCTGGCCAACATATTTATTATGTACATTTAATTGCTATTACAGTCAAGGAAATTGTGATCATGGTCTATCTTCAGTCACCTAGTAAAATAAAAAATATATTACCATTTCTCTTGGGATATTGATTTAGAAGTTGGGGTCAACGTTTAAACATCCTCGGCATGCTTACCTGCTGGCCCCTGACCTTTTCATGCTGTTTTTACATGTACATGACACGCCTTCTACAAAGACAGGCGTGCTCTGGAACATAGCTTGAGATGTCTTTGCCAGAAACCTGTTGCCAAAGAATGTGTTTATGGTTTGAGATCCAAGGACTGGTGACTGGCAGGCTCTTGAAAAAATGATTTCTTTTTCCTTCCTTCTCACCTGCACCTTTGCTGTCTGCAGGAAGATCTGCCTACACTGCAAGTGTCCCCAAGAGGAGCACATGGTGACAGTGATGCCGCTGGAGATGGAGAAGACCATCAGCAAACTCATGTTTGACTTCCAGAGGAACTCAACCTCCGATGACGACTCAGGCTGTGCCTTAGAAGAGTATGCCTGGGTCCCTCCGGGGCTGAAGCCTGAACAGGTAGGGCAATGGTGGTTCTGCCTTTTTGCTTTGTCTTGCTGGTCCTTCCTCATTCCGGTTTGGAAGGAAGAGTAGACTTTGCTGATTTAGAGAACTGGTTGAAGCTAAATGGGTTGAAGATGTTAGAGGTCCCACTGGGAAATGAGGAAGGGAAAAGAAATTGAGCCTCAAGTGATCCATTGCTAATTAACCCTATATTGCCAATATTAACTATTAACTGGACTGTCTAGAAATATCTCAGAAATGTTGCTTTAAAACATTAGACAGTGAAACATCATTTTTGAAGGGAAGAAGAGGAATTCTGCATTGGCCATGAATCTACATTAAGATTCTTTGTAGGGCCAGCCCGGTGGCGCACTGGATAGTGCGCCGCTTGGGAAGCGCGGCGGCACTCCCGCCTGAGGGTTCGGATCCCACATACAGACCGGTTCCCGCTCACTGGCTGAGCGAGGCGCGGGAGCAACACCGAGGGTTGCAATCCCGTTGCCGGTCCCCGGTCCAGTACGGGGGCAACACTGAGGGTTGCGATCCGTTGCCGGACACGGAAAAAAGACAAAAAAAAAAAAAAAAGATTCTTTGTAAAGGAGAATGAGGAAGTATGGATTTGCCTTACTCTTCCCAGTGATATATGCTGTGTTTAAATATTCAGTTTGACCTCACTTTACAAAGAAAGACATTGGCATTTCCTGAAATATCTTGGCACTACCCACAGGCTGTACATATTATTGGCTCAATGAGAAGAATTTAGTTTCCTTCTGTTTTGCTGCATTTTTCTCAGTGACATATAGTCTCCACTTTGCACTTCTTGGTACTTGCAATTTTCTTTTCCACCAGCTCCACGTTGGTTTAGAAGCACCTCTACAAGCTGGATATTTTCATGATTGTCTCTGTGAGCTTTGAGAGACAGATCTTAAGTTTGACCACTGTTGCTTCCCTCTGACACACACAATTTTTTTCTCTGGAGATTTTCTCTTATGTCTGACAGAATGTTTTGAAACTTAAACAGCCCTGAAATTTTAAGTCAGGAACTTTATGTGTGATAATGCTTTTAGATAAAGTTTTTTTTTAAATTAAAGAAGACCCAGGAATTCACCAATAAGGGTGAATTCTTAAGGGTGGTAACTGTGATATCATCTCTTTGATTGGCCATTTCTCATTTTCTTCATCCAATATTGAGGTTGCAAATTGGCAGGTGAAATCAGGCACACAGGTAGGATTTGTTTAGCCAGCAAGACATTGTTTAAAAATTTAATTAGTTACTAATACTTAAAATGTAGGAATTTTTCATGTAAAAGTCCAGATTTATATCTTGAAAATTTGAAGACCTGGAATCTCATTCTTGTACAGATATAAGCTGCTGGAGTCGAATGCTGGCTGTTCCTTTTAGACAAAATTTGATCTCACCAAGTCATCCCAGTATCCACTAAGTCCATTTCATCCTTCTGTGTTACCTTTCTGAACTCTACAGGCTCTTCGGTTTTGTGATATTAGTCTAATTCTCACTACAGAAGAGAAACTATCTTAGAATGCAAACATTCACAGAAAATGATCTCCATGAGAATTGAAGGTAGTTCTATGTTGGGATATTAGCAGGAAGAAATGAGTGCTTTCTCCCAGTTCATGGGTTGAGGTTGTATTTGTCTTCTTTTTCAGGAAAGATTGTATTATTAAGGAATTGGTTTCAGAAGAATGAGAGTATTTGATTGAGTTTGTGTGGAAACTCAGATGAGGCGGTGGTTGACCAAGTATCTTTGTTTGACCTTGCCCTTCTACCGCCAGTGCTAGAGCAGTGAGATTTCAAACCTGGAAACATCTGTGAGCTTGGTTCATTTTCTCACTAACGTCATTTCCAACAACTTCTAAGCAACCATCTTTCTTTTGTTCACCTGAAGGACACTGCTTCCCGCTAAATTGGGCCCTGAATTTTCCAAAGTTAAGCTGTTTACAGTTCCCTGATTAAGCAGATTCTTCTCTAAGACCATTCCACATCTGTCTCTGATGTTCAGATTTAAAGAAAACGTGCAACTCCTACTGATTGACCTGAGGGAACAGAGAATTGCAGAAGCTAGGGTCTTGATTGAATGTACCAATTCCAAACGTAAGTGCTTATGGTATTTTTGGAGGCTGCTTGACTCATCTAAAATGAACGTCTTTGGGAAGCATAAAACTGAAATTTCTTTGATTTGTTTTGAAAGAAAATGATTAATGCTATTAAACAAGTGGTTTGAATTATGTCAAATGAAAGGGTATTCCCATCTCATAGTTCTATTGTTCTTTGGATGGTTTTCTCTGTTCCCTACATTTACTCAAACCTATATGCCACAGATGATTAGAAAGGGAAATTGCTCTCCAGAGAGAAAATATCTTTTCAAGCTATTTGAAGGGTTCTGTGTTTTCCCAATAAAATATGAATCTATATTAAAGGTGTTTAAAGGGGTCATGTTGTGTGAAAGAAATGGGCTTCAAATATTTAAATTATGAGATCTTTTAAAGTCTATTACTTACAGAACTGCTTATGGGTTTAAAGATTTTTAAAAAGCTGTATAGTATGCTCTAAGATTAGAAAAATTTTAGTCACTAAATGACTTTTACTAATAAAAATTTTGATGTTTAATATCATGTTAGTTGGCTATGATTTGAGAAAAACCATTTTTCTATCAAGAGAAAATATAGTGAACATTAAAATGCTTTGTGCTAGAAGCAGAATATTAAAGACTAGTTAGGGTTGAGAGTAATGTGCTTTCATTTTTATTAGAAACCTTTCATTTCACTCCCTGATTGTGGGGTTGGTAATATACCTTCAGGTGATACTCTTTATTATTCTATTTCTTCTGAGAAATGCCTTCAATTAAATATAATGCAAACGAAAGTCACTTCCCATTTAGGGAAGTGTTCTTGAATGTGGGCATTTAATTTCATAATAATCCACTAGCTACAAAACCCAGCCTTCATCAAATAGTAGGAAAATGATCAATCTAACGAATGATGCCAGAAAGGAAAGGCATTTATCTTGTGATTTCTAATTACTGAACTCAAAACTGATAATCAGAGAAGTTGTTCAGATCTTTTGCCTCAGCTTACTCCACATAAGGTGTACAGTGTCATCCAGAGAGCCCTGTGGTAGCAGAATAGGGAAGTGGGTCTACTCCAATTTCACTTCAAACTCAAGTAGATAATAGTTTATGTCCTATCTCCTAGAGATGCTACAGTGATAAATTTACAGGAGAAAGTACTCTGGAAGAATTTGAAAAATAATTAACAAGCTATAACAAAGTCAGATGCCCAGCAGGATTTCTCAGCCTCCGCACTATTGACATCTTGGGCTCTATAATTCTTTGCTGTGGGACATTGTAGGATGTTTAGCAGCCTCCTTGGCCTCTACCCACTAGATGCCAGTCGTGCCTCCCAGCTGTGACAAACATGTCTCCAGGAATTGTCCACTATTCCTGGGTAATGAGAGAACTACTGGGTGAAAGTGATGTTACAAGCTGGAGGATATCTCAACAAAATTCTGGCCCAATCAAGATTAAAAGGGATGACTCAATTTAGCAAGCACTTATTGAGCACCTGCCATGTTCTAGCTCCGGCATAAGATCAGCCACCTTGTAAGATGGTTGGGTGCTCGGCAGAGTGAAAAGATGCTCACACTGCTTGAGCAGAGGCTAGTGCTCTCTGAGGCAATGCCTGACATCTTCACTAAGTCAAAACAAGATTGGAGTGGCATGAGGAACAGGATCACCTGTTCTCCAAAACAGAAATAGCTTTTCCCCCTTTTGTAAAGGAAAGACTTGCTCATTAAAAAAAAAGAACAAAAAAATATGAGACCTCTAGGAAAGCAAATAAAAATCACTCATAATTGCACCAACCAAGGAAAATTGTTTTCCAGCCTTTTTGTGTGTATATTCTAATATCTATATAAATAGGAGTACATTTCTGTTTTGTTGTGGACAAAAATGTAAAGATGGTCTCCACTTTTCCTTATTTGTTTTTTTCCCTCTTATATATTGTGAATATTTTTCTGTATCAGTATATTTTGATCCAAATTATCCTTTGTGATGGTTGGATAGTTTTCCATTGATAGTTTCTAATCCAGAGTGGTACCTACCTCCCACCACTAGGGGGCATTTGGCAATGCATGTTTGGGAGGAGGCAGTTCTTGTCTAAATGACTGGGGGGCTCCACTAGCATATGGGTGATGCTTCGAGATAATAAACATCCTAAAAAGTACCAGATGATCCTGTACAAAGAAGAACTGACCCACCCCAAACACCAGGAGTACCACCCTTGAGCAGCATGGAGCCGAAGGTTTATTTTTGGCCATTTGCATTGTTGGCAGTTTTCTCTGTCTTACCTAAGACAGCAGCAGCTAACCTTAATGCATCCCGTGTTCCTGCCTGCTCCTCTCCTTAAGCACATTTCCTAGAGGTGGAGTGGTCACATGTAAACCTCTCTAAGGCTTTTGATTCGCTTTGCAAAACTGCCTTCCAGTAAGGTTGTCACTGGTACTTTTGGGTGGATAGCTTTCAGTGGGTACATGTGGATATGGTTTTTCTATTAGTTCTTCCCCTCGCTGCTCCTTGAAAACCTGGAGAGGCCATCAGATTGCTTTTCCCGAGCGAATGTCCTTTTCATCGATGTTTTAGATACTCCAAGTGTCCATGGAGGGTTGTCAAATACATATATCCCCAAATCCTTAGTTTCTAAAAGTTAGTAATTTTACCTTGCCCTTAACTGTGTTTTTACACGTAAAAAGTGGCAATTAGGTTGTTTGTCCAGAACACTCAACTTCCACTACAAACTATCACAGGAAGGATGAAGGGTAGATTCTAAGAGTAACTGCCCAATTTTTGGCTTTCAAAACATTCTCCCATATGTGGTAAAATAGAACATTCAGTACTACCAGAGACAGGGGTAAATGAGTTGGTTTTGAGCCTTCTGAAACTCTGAAATATCTCTGTTGGGAATGTGTACTATTATTTATTTGGCTTTTAATTTAGTGA